ATTTGGTGCTTGGCTGAGTTCTTTATTTCTTCATTTGATGTTTTAGGGTTTCAGGATTGTTGTTTTCTCTGTTTGGCTTAGTTTTTTGGATCTTTGCTCTGGAGGAACGGTGTGGTGCTTCTGCCTAGAGCGCCATTTTTCCAGAAGTCCACCACTTTTAATTTTTAAAAACCTTTTTTGGGTGACAGATTTCAGTAAGAAAAAATATATAGGCAATTTAGCATTTATAGAAAAGACATATTTCTAAATCACTTGACTATTAATATTTAACTAATGATAATTTCAAAACTCTGAGATAGTAAGAAGGAGCAGTAGAACTGAGTTCAAATCATGACTTTACCAATTTCTAGTCTGTTCTCGAACAAATCATGTAATCTCTCTTAGCTCTAGTTTTCTTACTACAATAAAATAGACGTTTTTGTTTACTTTTTAGAGTTGCTTTCAAAGCAGCTAATACGGATATTACTGATACAGCACTTTCAAGAAATAAAGGTAGTCACAATGCATTAGCACAATGAAAAATATTTTGTATTGGGATAATAATGTAGATTATTAGACGAAAATTATGATATAAATAAGAAACATCACTGATGTTGAATCAGTCTCTCGTTGCCACAGGATTTTCAGATTTTGCAAGACTACTAGTGGAGTACTTATTAAAAATGTGTAAAATTGTTGCTACTGAACCATAGTGTGCTCAGTATTGACTTTGGCTGCTTTTCTGGGAACAAATTTTGTTCTATGTCATTTTTCATAAACCTATTTGCATATGAATTTCAAATATATATATAACTTTGTAGAATGAAGTTGCACCTGAAGGTTATCCACTTCTTTTCGGTGAGTCTGGCCTGCAGAGTTCTTTGCCCAGACACATAAACATAAAATAATAAACCCTCTGTGTTGAAGGTGACGTATTGTCAATTTTATAAAAATACTCAGTCTGTTTTTTCTTTGCAGCTGCATCTCGGAAAAGAAGCTGTTATTCTCACTAACAGCCTAAGTCTATGTGAGTGTCCCAGAATTGAATTTTTACAGCAGAAGTGCAAGGATCAGAAGAAAAATTCTCTTGATCATGAGCTCTTCAGACATGGTAGTATAAAAATATAATATTTCTGAACTTTTAAGTTCTAAGTCTCCAGATTCATTTATCATTTTCATATCATTTTTCACACTTGGCTTTATCAACCCAGGAGATTTTCTACAAACCGTTTTATTTAGTATTTGCCAATGTGTAATACATGACTTTCTGATTTCTTACTTCACTCAGGCTGTCAACAGATATTTACTGAGTGATTGTTATGTGTCAGCATTAATAGAAAGAGACTGGTTTGTTACCCAGATATTTAATCTAACATATGGAATAAATACTTTTCAAAGTGTGCTTTTGTTCATTATGTTGTATCCTAAAAATAAACATATACATACGTAAATGTGTACATGTGTTGTGTGTTGTTGGTTGCCATCGAATCAGTTTTGACTCATGATGACCCCATATGTTACAGGGTAGAACTGCTCGATAGGGTTTTCTTGGCTATAATCTTTAGCACTAACTGATTGTGCCAACTAGGGACCTTGTGTATATATGTATACACACACACACCCCAAGTTCATAAGAAAGAGAAAAAAGAACTTGGCCCATGTATGCAATAATCATACAAAACACCTTGGAAGGTAGGCCTTGTTTGTTCTGAATCACAAATATGAAGTGATAAGAAAACCTGGTTTGTGAAGACAGCTATGTAATGGATTAAACCAGTCGCCACTGAGTTGACCCTGACTCATGGCGACCCCACGTGTACAAAGTAGAACTGTGCTCCACAGGGTTTTCAATGCTGATTTTTCAGAGTAGATTGCCAGGCCTTTCTTCCATACAACAGATTGGTATCCACAAGTCAGTTATAGCCTGAAATTGGCTAAAGACAAATTGTGAAATGTTTGGATTACTTTATAAGTTACCTTATATAAAAGATAAACTTTTTGTATTTTAATTTATTAATAATTATCAGTAATTTATTTGCAGCCTGAATATATATATATCTATATACAATGAAACGTGAAAGCCAGCACTTGACTGGACAGCCTTGTTTTTCTGGGTCTTGCAAGTTTTCTGCCTTTGACAGGGTGCAGTCTTACCACTTTTCTATCACTTGTTTTAGTGGGAAATATTTGAATTTTCCTTCTCTGATAGGTTTCCACCTTACACAGTGTCAGGGTTTGAATTATGTCCCCCCAAAAATGTGTGTATCAATTTGGCTAGGCCATGATTCCTG